CGCAAGGTGGGTGCCGCGCTTGCTCACAATCGAACAAAAGCAGCGTCGAGAGGATGTTTCAATCGAGTGTTTGGCGATGTTTCGCAGCAACAAAGCCGAATTTTTGCGCCGATTCATAACCATGGATGAAACATGGGTCCACCACTTCACACCTGAAACGAAGGAACAGTCGAAGCAATGGACTGAAAAGGGGGGAATCGGCTCCGAAGAAAGCAAAAACAGTTTCATCGGCAGGCAAGGTCATGGCGTCAGTTTTCTGGGATGCGCGTGGCATAATTTTCATTGATTACCTTCAGAAAGGAAGAACAATCAATGGCGAGTATTATGCGAACTTATTGCAGCGTTTGGGTGATGAAATCAAGGAAAAACGGCCACATTTGGCGAAAAAGAAAGTGTTGTTTCATCAAGACAATGCACCAGTTCACACATCCATTATCGCGATGGCCAAAATCAATGAAAGTTCGAATTGCTTCCCCACGCACTCTATACGCCAGATTTAGCCCCCTCGGATTATTTTCTCTTTCCAAACTTGAAAAAATGGCGGTAGTAGAAGATTTACCAACAATGAAGAGGTGGAGTCTGCGGTTAATGGCTATTTTGAGGAGTTCAACGGTTCTTACTATAAACAGGCCATCGAAGCTATTGAACATCGCTGGGAAAAGTATCGAGCTATAAGGAGACTATGTTGAGAAATAAAGATATTTTTTCCCAAATTTTTTGTGTTTTCTTTGTTAGGTCGGGTACTTCTGGGACCACCCTCGTATGTTTATTACGTTTTATTACGTTTTCTAAACATATCTAATGTTCAACAAACATTTAAAGAAGCTTATATAAAATCCACATGTGATCCTGAAGACAGCGTGACAAAAAATAACTTTTTTATTTTCTCTCTGAAATGTGACAGTATATTTTCCAAAGATTTTTTTGCGCTGAACACGATGCCATTGTCAGAATTGGCGCAGCACGTTAGGATTTTGAGTAAATTGGAATAAAATAAACAAAAATAACGTTTTTGGTCACATTTAACAATATTTTGCAACAAAAAGAAACTGATTTTTAAATATACTGAGCGGCATGTGAAAGTATAATTCAAGAGTTTTCAAACAAACTTTGATTTATGATAGTACGACTTTTTTTTATCAAGTTATAACTGTTCGAATTTTAGATTTTTTGGTAACATTCCATGTTTACATTGTTATCCACACACATTACAGACACACACAATATTTAGTTCATATTTCTGTCAATTGATTAGAAATGCAGCATCGTTGAATAGTATGCGGCATCGCCAACAGAGGGATGCATTCAGTTAAATTTCTCGATAAAAAAAAATAATGTAAAATAAAATAAAGACACGCATTAAAAGATTTTTCAAATGTGTTTTAATAAAATAATTTTTGGAATGAACCTTAAGCATTCTAAGATGAAAACATAATATTTTTTTGATACATTTACCGGGAAAATGAAATCTCCTGATACTTTAAAATGTTATCACGCTTATTAAATTTAATGAGAACTTCAATCACATTCAGATAGCTCGACAATACTCGTTCAATTAAAATTGGGGATGTATTGAATCGTAAAATTACTGCATACCAGATATCGAATATCTGGTATCCGAAAACGCAATTTCTTCGAGTTGGATATCGAATCCGACATTTTCCGAATATCCAACTGGATTCTGAGAAAGTGTCTTTTAAAAAAGAAAAAAGCCTATAGAGAAAAAGATTGTAATTTTGCAGCACGTATGAGATATTATAACATTATGAATATGCATATTTATTTCTAGAAAAAATCAACAATTTAACGATATCAAACTTCAACCGGATATATTCCCGGACTAATGATATTTGGCTATCCGGTCGGATAGTAAAAAAGTATCGGATACCAGATAGTTTCCGGATATCTGTTGCATCTCTAATTAAAATGCCGACAGATTACTTGCAACTTATGGGAGTAAGACTTTAGACGGGAACTGTTTCCATAGTGTTGCCTTGTGATTTCTAACAACAAATACGATTGGTTTACAAGAGGACAACTGTTGCTCATAAATGTTAATGGAAATAAATGTCGACAATTTATAATAGGCAAAATTGGAAACCATTTTTTTAAACATTGAAGAACACTTAAGCAAAGCAATTTCAAATAAATTGACAATAACCTGCAGACAACGTAGTATCTGAACAGATGTTGAGTTTGTTTAGAGACCAGTATTTCCCAGATAGCACCGAATTTGCTGATATGTTCCTGAAAATCATTGCAACAACTAATTTTGATAAACTCGGGACAACGTGAGACATCATTATGTCTGTCACGATGAACTTAACAGAATTCTAATTTTAAAGACAGCAATTTGAAAGCGACTTGTTATCATCAACATGCTGTTCGCAACTAATAGCATGTTTACAGGAACAATTACGGCAACATGTGCCAAACATTAATCATACATATGCTATACACATATGTATAACGAAATGATGCCATCAAGATGCTATCGATTTTGCCACAATCAAATTTAGAATCCATATGAGAACAATATTTCACATAATGAAGAAGCACCTTGCTCCCTAGTTTGGCATTTGTTATTGCAACGGTTAACAAAACATGATGGTATCTTAATTGAACTCATTTGCCATAAATTTAAGATGCCATCACGTTGCCATCATGATGGAAAGAATTAGAATTCCATCGTAGTATGGGTACTTTCATTATTAAAGCTTAACTGTGGGGATCACTTCACATGCAAATGGTGTGCTCCTTATATTCTTTTTCATAATTCTTATTTACGAGTTACTGCATCTCCGCCATGATCCTCTGTCTGACAGAGATGCATAATGCTCGGGTGAGTGATTTTTGTAATAACATTTTTTTAGTAACAAACTACGATGGCATCTATTAAAAAACATCATATAGCTTAAAGTCATACACGCAACAACGGATGGATATTTACATATGTTTTGTTGCCGTCATATTTTCTTCATAATGCTCAAAATGGAATGATTAATCAATTCATTGCTGTTATATTGCTGTCATCTTGCTGACAGTGTAACGTACAGCTATTGCCGACAGTTCGTTTTTGAAATTTCATCAACTGATTGCATAAGCATTTATATTGCTGCATTTGTAACATGTTCTGATGTCAACAAATGTATGCCAAATATAAGACAATGCGTCAGTTTGCTCAATGTACTAAATTACTGGATTATCTGGATCCTTTTACTACAAAAAGAATGTTACAAATAGCCAAAAACATTTTTGCTCCAATTCATTTCGATTTACTCAAAATCCTGACGTGCATGGCAAATTCTATCAACGGTGTCGTGTTAAGCGCAAAAAAATCTTCGGGAAACGTATTATCCCACTTCTGATAGATTTTTCTTGTAACATTGCGTTATGGATTCTGTACCTGTATTAAAATTATCAAGAAGGACAAAGCTGCACTGTACATCTGAAAAAAATATATTATATTTTTATTATACTTAATGAAAATATTTGTGTTCAATTATTTATGAGAATAAAAAAAGATTTTTATATATAAAATAATTATAAAAAATAAACAAATGCATTTAATTGAAAAGTAATGCTAATATAATGTTACCATTTAGATATTTATGTAATTTGCAGGATTGAATGTAGGAGTGTTTATTCTACTATATGTACACTTTTATTACATATAATTACAATTTTATTTGATATAGGACATACCTGGTAAATGAAATTATATCCATAGCAGAAATATTCTACGCCAAATTTTACCTCCTTGAGTTTGATTTGCAATGTAAATTGTAATATCTAATTGAAATTAAATAATTGAATAAAATCATTGAAATGTTAGATATACACTATCTTTCATAAAAGTTTGGACACGCTTAAGCTCTAAACGATTATGTAAAAAATTAAGATACTGTTATAAAACATCAAATGTGTTAATATACATTGTTAGATATCTCAAAGAATTAATCCTATCACTTAAGTTAAATAACATTTGTTATAAATAACATTTAACTTCAATGTGTGTAAAAGCTCATCCATTTTCCAATTTCGGAGTAAATAATTTTAATTTTTAATATTTAATTTTTAGACAAATTTAATATTCTCTTGAGTTAAACCATTTAACTCCATTATTTTAGTTTTAATTGAGTAAATGGCATATTAAAAAAAATCAATGGCGATGTATAGAACTGATTGAAAGTAACTCAAATTGTATACAATTCAACATGTTGAATTTAATAGTAGTTATGTTTTTCTATATACATATTTTAGACTATTTGTACGTATAACATTAATTGCAAAAGTTTATAAAATGTTTTCAATTTTATGTGCTAAAATAGTGTTTATTTTGTAAGACACTGATAGTACAATCGATAAATTACAAATATTCGCTTTTGCGTATATAATAAAAAATTATTCATAAAATTTTTTAGCCCAACCTATGGCATTAGATGTGACTAAGTATCCTAATGTCCTAATGTGTATAAACAGATAATACAATAGATGTTTTAATAATAAACAAAAATAAATGCCTGAAAAATAAATAACAAAAATTAATAACACAATTGCTGTTTTATAATGTCCTAATTTTTATATAATTGATGAAATTTATGGACATGCCCGAACTTCTATGAGCGCTGATAAAATTACACATATAATAAGTAGAATTCTACATAAAATCTTATCATTATTTACCAGGTCATGTAACTCTTCATCGAGATTATAATTGGACAATTTGTGAAGAATTGCTACTGTCTCTTTATCTAAAATTGTTTTTATACAGTATGAAAATCTTTAAAAACTAAAAATTTTGTACTCAAAAGATTGCGTCATTTGGAAGAAAGCTTCGATATTTGTAATTTTTATGTTGCGAAATTGTTGCTTGTGCTTATAAATCTAGTTATAAATAATTATAGTTAATAATAAATAATTAATAATGTTTTAATTTTACTATACCTTATGGTAAATAGTTTGACATATGTAATTTGATGTAAAAAATAAGATGTTGAATAGAATGTAAATGTAATATGTTAACTACATAAAATTATTATAATATCAGATGTCCATAATTCTTGATTTCTGTATAAAAGTGCAGTACTTATATCGGTATACATCTGTATCAATCTTTCGAAGCTCCGAATCTTTCGAAGCTAACATTTGAAGTAACATTGGTATTTTAAATATTTTGTGAGATATAAGGCATAGGTGTAGATGGACGTGCCTATAATAAAATCGTAATTGTTTTAATTAATCAAACCATAGAGATACATGAGAGAAGTACTAACAGTAAACAAAATAAATTATTATTATCGTAGAATTTGATTTAAAAGACAATATAATTATAATTTGCGATTAGTATAAAGTGTGTGATTATTTTACATACAGTTGAAGTTAATTAAGGCTCCTGAGTACTCAGTCAAGAACTCTGCGTTGTCAGTAGCGACACAGAATCAGACGACGGTCTGGCGAAACTGGTACACATTTAACCACAAAGACATAAAGCATGGACTGGAAAAATAAATTATGTATGTACAACAAAAAACAAAATAAGCTATAACTACAACTTGTTAAATTAATAACATATAAAATAAATATGATTAAATTCTTCCCGAAAAGGGAATAATTTTCAGTATGCTTGTGGGATATTTATGTAAACATTAAAAAAATTAAGAATTAAATTGCAAATATATGTCTCTATAATATACGAAAAATACATAAATGTATATGTATCAAAAGTTGAAAAATTCAATTTATTAATATAAGTCAAAATTTTATTGGATCAGAATAACATATCCTAGAGATGTTTTATATTAATACAATGATAATTACAAATATTCTGAGGTAATTCATATGAATTTAATGTTTTGAATCAGAATGGGATTAATCTGATTAAATTAGGATATCTTAAGGAAATATATTGCTGTGAGTTATGGTCGTGGAAAATTGACGTTTTGACGATGAAATTTATGTTGCACATATTCCATTTCGTTATTATTTGCTTTTGTGAAAATGTGACTTGTCTCATACTTATCAAGTCTTATAATTATCGACAAAAACTAAAGTTATCTTGGAATTTTATATACAAAAGCGCATTTTTTACTCGTTTCAACAACTGTCAGACCGTGTGTTTCTGCCCGAATATAGGTTCACTTTACGTGCCTTTTATGACCATTCACTGACTGTCAAGGGAGGAAAGGACACCCAGCCAACGAGAATGGATTGAAATAAATTGAAATGGATTTAGATTTTCAGAAATATTGATTCACAAATGTTAAAATGAATGCTTTTCAATCCTGAATGCATTTTTATTCATTTATAGGAATTGCATGGAGCATATCTCTATGTCTTTAAATTTAAAAATAATATTAGCTTCTTCTGTGCATTGTGAATACTGTTCAATTCAAAATTTTGAATAGCTAGAAAATGCAGTTTTTTTAATGCAATTGCATCCAATTGAATCTAATTGAATCCAATTAAATAAAAAAAAAATATTCACTATTTAAAATACACATTCGGATATACAAAAATTTTAATCTATTTTAATCCATTCTCGTTTATTAGGCAGTTTTCGTTGATTTTTACAAGTATTTTCATCAATTAGATTTATCCAAATTGTTTTTACTTACAAATAGTATGCAACATAAATTAACGTGTCATTCCTCGCTTCTAACGTCACGATTCCAACATGATCGCCGCGCAGCTCTCAGAAGTCTTAATTGTTCTTGATATGTGCGTGCGTGCGTGCGTACGTGTGTAAAATGTTCCGTTTAAACTTTTGCTTCAAAAAATTTCGAAAAGGTAGTATATAATAAAAGGTACGAAGAAATATTTCAGGTAAATGTTGAATGATTTTGTGGAGGACCTATTTTGATTATACATATAACATGCTAGCAGCAACTTCAGACTGGTAGTTATTCTATGCAACAAAAAGAGAAGTACATGTATCCAACATCTTTAGTTACTGATACAATCATAAAAGTTTTTTCCAACAAGAAACACGTACCATGACATGTATAGTGTACCGCAGTAAATCGATTTTATTCTTATTAATTGGCAAACAAGGATATAATGATACTGTGTTACACTGTATCATTTGTGTTTCTTGTTGGAAAACATTCTATATATATTATATTATATATATATATATATATGGTATACTCGTATATATGCAAGCAAATGCGAAGCTGTATATGTATGCGTGCATATACATATTCCATAACTTTTCTATAGACATACTACATTATCGATAGTATATAACCTAGTTGCATGCTGGTATTGTTCACAGACCGTAATTATACTATAAGCACACTGTGGGACATCTTTAGTATGTATCAATAAGTAAAGTAACGCGAGACATAGGAACTATCTTAGTGTGTACTATAGTACGTCGCAGTACGTATTCCTAACGTTCTGAGAACGTAATATACTTTTTCGAAATCCCACAGAACCTGCTCAGAATTAATAAGAATTAATAAGAACTTGCTCTATGCTGTTAGGGTTATGATTCGCATCGAGTTAAAAATCATCTTTTATGTATTTATTTCATATAATTTTTAGAAAAAAATATTAAAAAAAAAATG